GATAATAATCAATGTAATGAAACAAGCTATATGAATGGTTGAATGTGAAGCTGATGATGTGCCCTGTAAACTTGCACTCAATCCAAAATAAAAACATTTAATTAAAAAAAAACAAACACTGAGTTACATAATTTAAAAACATGCTATGTGGGTTACATTTTATATGTATCTACCCACTCCTCAATTAACAACATGGTTAGGTTTCAAAGAGCAGGCCATTATTCAAAAATCATCATTATTCAACAATGGAGGATGACCACATCAGATCACAAACGTGAAGACAACTACATCAAATTCTATCATCACATAACTGCCAAATCACTGAGAATCCTGACCTACCTAAGGTGACACCCAACCCTAACCATCACAGCCAGCATTACTCTCATCTCACACCTCAGTGTTCGTTTCTGCTGGTATAGGTCATAAAGGTGCAAGACAGTTTGATAATGGACTTTTTTTTTACTATCCAACAAAATGTTGGGTAACAAGACAGTTGATAAGTCAAGGACTAGGTGTATAATGAAATAGATACAAAAAACAATCCATTTATAACACTTGGACTAGATTCCCTGAACGAGCTATGATTAACATAACCACATATGACTTCACATACCCATTTGTTATTGTTGTTACATGCTGTCTAATCAGTTCCAACTCATAATGACCCTGTATAGTGCATAGGGTTTCCAAGGTTTTTAAATCTTTACCTCATTTTCCTGCTAGTGGGTTCAAGCTGCCAACCTTGAGGCTCGCAGTCCTTGCTTATTCTAAGGAGCCACAGTACTCCTCTTACATATCCATAGATCTCTTGAAAGTGTTCAAGAGCAGAGATGTCAGTTTGAAGACTAAGATGTGCCTGACCCAAGCCATGGTATTTTCAATAACCTCACACACACAGGAAAGTTGGAACAATGAATGAGAAAGATCAAAGAATAATTGATGCAACTGAGTTACAGTATTAGAGAAAAAAGTACCATGGACTACCAGAAAAACAAAGCTGTCTGGATAGAAGTACAGTCCTCGATAGAAGAATGTTCCATAGAAGCCAAGATGATGAAGCTACATCTCATACTTCAGACATACTATCAGGAGGGACCAGTACATGAAGAAGGACATCATGCTAGGTAAAGTGGAGGGTCACCAAAGAAGAGGAAGACCTCAACAGGATTAACTGGCACAGTGGCAGCAGCAACAGGCTCAAGTGTAACAGCTATTGTGAGCACGGTGCAGGACTGGGTAGTGTTCTGTTCTATTGGACAAAGTGTTACTATGAGTTGGAACCAACCTGACAGCACCTAACAACAAGATCTGATTTTATGACAAACGATTTAAGGCAAGGGTGCGTCGTTGCTTTAGGAACATAATACTAATTAAAGTTTTACTTTAATAATGTCATCACTCTACACTTTTCCCCACCCAGACATTTTAGTGCTAAAAGAAGAATGAGTGAGTCATGGCCTGATAACAGGACTGTTCCAGGCTGCCCCTATAGCCAGAGTCACTAGGTTTCTCCTATCAGGCCATATAGATTATCAATAAAAACAATCCTCAGATAATCAGAACTTGGTGTATAATTTTATATAGACTGAAAATGGTTACAGTGTGCTGTCTAACCTACTTAACCTCTCAGTAACAATTGCAGGTTTAGAAAAGTCAGATAACCTTTCTAGAAAACGTTTCCTGGTAATGTGAAATTGAAAACAAAAATTCCTCCCAGATATGAGCATGGTAAATCAAATGCCATGACTGTGCCCCACCTCAATCTGATCTAAAAGAACAGTGACTCATAGGGTGAGGGAAAAAGGATTTCAGCACCAACTGAACTCAAACAGAATGCAAACAGATCAAGAATCTTTAATGCTAGCACTTATTATAAAAAGAATTTATCAATATTTTCCCCAAACGTTTTTCAAACAAAGATCTAACTACTTAATTTCTCCCAAAAGTAATACTAAAAGTATGTAACATTTTAATAATAATGACTCATTCATATTATCTGGATTGCTATTTACAAGTATTAAAAAGAAATCTGATTTTATTAGATTTTAGAAATTCAAAACTAAACATATTTATGGCAATAAAAAGCATTCAAAATATTTTGAAATATATTTTTCCCTAAAATTATAAGAGGAAAGGAAATGCTCGAGGGTAGAAAGCTATGTAAATACAGTATGGATTTTGATGCTGTATGCACTTAGCAGCATAGTAGCTGTGTAACTTAAAAATGTATCCCCTGCCATGCAGACATAAAGAGATGAGGAAACTATGACCTGAAAAATGTAACTATCGCCAAGATATATTAAGTTAAAAAAGCACACCACTAAACCATTTGTATTATGCTCTACTATTACATAAAAAAAGGGAAGGAAAATAGGTAAATAGTTTATATAAGTTTAATTTAAGCAAATAAAAATACATAAATTATTTTATCTTGTTAAGTGCTGTTGAGTCAGTTCCAACTTACAGCAACCCTTTATAGGGTTTCCGAGGAGCAGCTAATGGGTTTGAACCAAACTGATAACCTTGTGGCTCAAACTGACCTTGCAGTCCAGCACATTATCCTGCAGCACCATATATAAAATATCCCTGGAAGCATACTTTAGAAACCAGTAACATTGGTTGTCTCTGGGAAGGAGAACTTAGGCTCAGAAACAGGGATGGATGGGAAGCTTTTCACTGTGTATTCTCAAGAACCCTTTGAGTTTCAAACCTTGTAAATGTGTTACCTGTTCAAAAATAAAATAATTTCTTTAAAAAAAGAATCTCTAATTTGCAAACAGAGTGGTGATGGTTGCACAACATGATGAAAGTATAATTAATATGACTGAACTGTACATGTAAAAAATGCTGCTGAAATGGTTAAAATACTAATTTCCAAAAGTAGAAATGAACTTGTAAGAAAAAAAAAGAAAGAAACGAAGGAGAGAGTCTTGGCTTCAACAGCAGGCAGGTTTATTGAGAGTAAACCTGGGAGGGGGTACTCTTAAGTCTCCAAAGGAGACCAAGACTCCGTCTGTTCTCTTCCAGACTGGAGTATTTAAAGGCCCTGTGGTTTGGGTACAGTTCTGGCGAATTTACAATGGGCAGGGATATGGAGACTTGGGCGGGGGTATTTGCAATGCCATTTTGTTGATCAGGCTCAAGGTCCTTCAGAACTCAACTGAAACCTGGTGATGATATTGAGCAAACCAAGGTTAACATACCAAATTTGTGAGCATCTCATGTGTGTGCATCAATCCAATGAACAGCATCTATTTACTGAGCAACTACAATATTCAAAGTATTATGTTGGGCTCCATCAAAGATACAAAAATAAATATAACACAGACCTTATCTTCAAAAAAGCTTATTTAGCATGAAAAACACCTGCCTAAGTTAGCCTTAATATGTCCTGGTAGCATGGTGGGTTACGCGTTGGGCTGCTAACTGCACAGTCAGCAGTTCAGAGCCACCAGCTTTCTGCTCCCAGAAAAATTTACAGCCTCAAAAACCGTATGTAGGGTCTCTACGAGTAGGAACTGACTTAACAGCATGCAGCAGCAGCAAGTTAAATTTAACTGCCCAATATTTATAAATACCCAAAAAATGCCCCAAAATATCATGGAATCTTAACAGTATTCACAGAAATAATGCTGTGAGTTACAAGCAATAGAAAATTCCAAAAATACTAAATTGAAAATGATGTATTTACATCTCTAAGTCAATTTCAATACTCACCAGCAATTTTGAGGTGTGCGTGGAAATGTTTATGAGTCAGCAGGGGCTCTGGTAACTCTCCTAAAAACATCTTCAGCAAGGTGGCAACATCATTTGAGTGAAATACCCCTGATTCCAAGTCAATATCCACTCCATTATTGAGAGCATCCCTTAAAATCTGTTGCCGGACACTATTCCCTGGTACTCGAAACAAACCCTCAACTCGCAAGTCTGCTTGGCACAGCAAAAGATAAAGCAAAAAGATAATGATTAAAATAATTAGTCTATTATTTTAATAGTCAATACTTTATATTGAAAAAGTTTCACCTACTGATATTGAGTCCATTCTGATACAGTGACCGGACAGGACAGAGCAGAACTTCTCCCCAGGGTTTCCAAGACTGTCCATGTTTACAAGAGAAGACTGCCACATCTTTCTACAGCAGAACAGCCAGTGGTTCAAACTGCTGAACTTTCATTAGCAGCCCAACGCTTAACTCACTGCACTACCAGGACACCTTTATAAAAGCCTTGAGGGAGGGTTTTACTCCTTTTCCCAGAGTTCTTCAGAATCAACGAGTCCTCTGAGGGGACATGTCTAAGCATCCCTGAGCACCTGGAGGTCTCCCAGACTGAAAGATGATCTTCCCAGGATTCACTCCAGCTGTTAAAGTACATATGGAGTCCTGTTGTGGCGCTGTAGTATGAGCACTAGACTTCAAGCCACAGATTGGCAGTTCAAACCCTGCTGCTCCTCAGAAACCCTATACATGGAGGGTCACTATGAGTCTGAACCCACTTGATGGCACATAACAACAACAACAACAGAGATACATATAGAGACTGCATTTAACCCAGTCAGTGGTTAGAATGCACTTGAAAAATAAGTTGGAAGAAAAGTCAAGTCTCTCGAAATCCCTCTTCCTCTTGGTAGTCCAGACTTTGCTTGGAGGCATTAAGTTCATCTGTGCAAATGTGTTGTACCTATAAACTGTTTTCCTGACTCAAAATGAATTTAGGGATCCAGGAATTAAAACTCTAACCTGTCATAACAACTTTCAGACTAAGAGATTATCCCATTTCATTGGGTTATCCCAATGAAACTATTCTTCCCCAAAACTAGGTTTACATCAATCTAAAGGGTTAAAAAGAAAAGCACGCAGTACAGTACAGTTTGGGTCTGTTCTGTGAAAGAGAGCTCATGTTTTCAGCATAGGTACTTACTTGTCTTGGTATAACTCCCTAATTCAGAGGCCCAAATTAAAATGCCTACAGGGCCAGGCAGATAATAGTAAATGTATGAACAGGAACCACATCAAACTCCCTAACTGTGCTCTAGAGTGGAAGTGGGACCCAAGGATGCAAGGAGATCTTCCTGTTATCAAAAAAAGCTGAAAAGCTAGGCTCTCCTCATTAAAACACTGAGAAGTAATTGTATTTTTATTTTAACCTTTTACAAACTAAATAAAACACAAATGCCCATGACTCAAGCCTGTCAATTTGCAACCTCTGCTCTGGTAGCACAATGTCCCACATAGAATAAACCATAAGTAAGTGTATGTGTTGAATTTATCAAGAAAATGTTTTCTTATATTTTGGCAACCATAAGACTATCATGTCACATAAAGTCAGCTGTATTAAACATTTAGGGCAATGACATAGCCAGTATGACTACTAAGACATGAAATTGGAAATAAATGAAGAATACATATTAATCATAAAATTCTGGAGATGAAAAGTATGTATCTTTGGTGATAAATCATGCTCCCTTGAGTAACTATTACAATTCTTTAGGGGTCACGTATTTTTCCAAAAGAAGTATCTCTGGGTTAAGGAGAAAATGTGGTTTCATAGGTACTATTTTTATCCCCTTGAGAGTATAAAGCAAATCATATATGAAATAAAATTTTTTTAAATCTATTTAGATACATGCCACCTGAAATTTCTGTTAGTTTCTTTGTTGATGGACAATTGGCAGCTACTTTCCTAACTGAATGCGTTAGCGCTCACTAGAGAACGGACACCTTCACTAAGCAAAGAACAACATTTTGAGTAGTCTTACGTTTGTGTAGATATTCAATCAGTTGGTATATCTGGGCAATGCCTTCCTCTGTAAGTGGAGATCCAAATACCACACCTTTTTCTGAAAAAAAAAACACATATGATAGGGTAGGGCTATATTTACTCAAATAGAATTTTATCACACTGAAATCCACTCAAACATCCTGTTTTACATTTCAGCAAATGTTTGCACAGAGTCAATAAACATCATAAAGCTGCTCTATGATGGGAGGCCTGTGTTGAGAGCCTCTCAACAACTGTGTTTCCCAATTCATGAATTGTTTTCTCCTGTAATAAACCTCTGTGCTTTTCATTAAATAAAAAAAAATAAAAAATAAACCATAAAGCTGAAGTACACCACAACAAGCAATCAGAAGAACTCTCAATTAACTCTCTCCAAGTCTAGTATTAGACTATAGATTCCTTGAAGGTAAAACCATCTTCTTGCTTATGTAATGATGCCTAGTATGCTGATATTTAATTTAAAAACAAACAAAAGTCAGAATTTAAGAGCCATAATTGTCAAAACATCACAGATTATCCACTACAGTTAGCACAGAGTCTCATCTGTTATATTCCAACTTTTTTTCTATCTCAATGATTTCTTTATACTTAATAAAGCAATGCCACAATTTGTTTATTTCATGGGAATGGTTATTTCTTTTGGGTGATTTGTTGACATCTGCCTTACCAAATCATTCCATGGAATGAAAACATTTGAGAATCACTGCGATTCTTCAACATTCAAGTTCTATTTACTGTACTTTTCAGCAGTGTAACTTTTTTTCATATGTTATTTTACTGTACAGCCCATGAAAATAAATAGCCCCATAACCAGTTCATCTCTTAGAGGCTGAATATACATGTTTGTGGGAAAACTCTATTAGCTTTTCATTCTATGCATACTTTACTTGAATTATTTTTTTAATTTAGATGGCTTTTATCATTTTTATAACTATTATTATGAAAATGATAAACCTAAGCCCCTCAATTAAGAATGTGCAGATTTAAGAGTGAAGCCCTTGGGAACACGGAGACCAACCCACTTTCACAGTCACCTCCTACCTTTCCGCTTGAGAGACATTAGAGACCGGAAGAAGCCTGATCCTGGGCCAGCCCCACCAGGCAACTTAAGGTCTACTTCCCCCATCAGCTGAGCCAACTCCATTCCAGGTAGATCAATAAGCCTTGTGATATTGCTGACAACCAACTCGGTGAACACCTCAGGTTTTTCATGTCGGAGCTTCTCCACAAAGAAGTCAGGGTTGAAAATAACGGGTTGACCTCGAAGGGAAGAGTCATTGCAGATAACAAAATTGCAGATGGCACCTCTGAAAATAAAAGGAAACATGGAAGAATCTTTGGGGGGATTATTTTTGTATGTGTTTCTCATGCCCTGTCAACCATACAATTATTCAGCTTTCTGTGTGTCAATCTACATATCAGTCTTTTGAAAAACCTGATCCTCAATCTGCTGACTGCAGAAAAGAAGACAATTTGGGTTTTACGGCTCTTTAGTTGTCATTGTTGTTGTTAAGCATAGCGACCCTGTATAGGATTTAGGTTGCTGTTGTTGTTGTTAGTGCCTTCAGGTTGATTCTGACTCACAGCAACCCTGCATAGGGTTGTCAAGGAGGGGCTGGTGAGTTTGAATTGCCAACCTTGTGGTTCAAATCAACTTGTGGTTGAAATCAACTTGCAGTTCAATGCTTATCCTACAGCACCACACCGGGACTCCAGGGTTTAGGTTACAGACATCGTAATAAAACATATCTAGGAGTTTAGTTTGATGAAAAGACACCCAATAACCTCTATGATTTGACCTGAATTTGCCTCTTAATTTTAGGTATATACCCTAGGAAGACATAGATCACTAATAAGTTGCCAGGTCCCATGTTGTTCTTGTTGCTGTTCAATGCCGTGAAGTTACTTCCTACTCATATAAGCCCTGTATAGAGAGGGGTAGCAGTCAAGTCTTAGCCTACATTTTAACAAGATCTCCAGGGAATCACCTGAGGATCTTATTCAAATGTAGTAGATTCTAATTCAGTACATCTGGGGTCAAAAGGCAAATTCTTCTGTGCAGGGGGACAAACTAGGATGAGCCAGTTGAAAGCTCCGCAAACAGACCACATCTTCTATTTAAAGTCAAATCTTGAAATATAATTGTTAAACACCTTAAGCAACTTCAGATCTGCAGTTGTGACTCTTAACACAGCAGTGAGTGATCATTAAATGACGTTTTTCCTGGGAACACAGCCAGCATTGACCAGTACTGGCCAGGCAGTGCTAACCTGCTGCCAGCACTACATCCAGGCCAGTCTCAAAAAGAACAGAAACCACCTTGCAAGACGCATGAGACTATCTAAGGGGGCTTTGAAAAGCTCATGGAAAATAGAACTAAAAGATAATGAAACTTTTCTAGGAACTTTTTGAAGCTCATCTAAGGTCTCAAATTACAGCTAAGAAGTGTACTAACAATTCGGAAATAGTCTACCCTACCCATAGGGTGCTCTGGTTCCTGGAAAATGTTTCCTTATGATCAGCCCCGTTTAATTGAGTTAGCGGCCCTTGGATTCTCTTATAACCAAAAAGCTTCCACTTCTATTTGAAATAAAACAAACTCACTGCCACCGAATCTATTCTGACTCACAGTGACCCTCTATAGGGTGTCTGAGACTACAAATCTTTAGGGATACAGAAGGCCTCATCTTTCTCTGAGAAACGGTTGGTGGGTTTTGAACCTCCAACCTTGTGGTTAACCCAATGCCTAACTCACAGTGCCACAAGGGTTTCTTTCACTTCTTACAGCTATATAATGTCAATATTGATTTACTTTGCTCAGACTCAGAAAAAAGTTTTCTTTTAAAATCCTTCAATTCTGGATGCCTCTGATCCATCCTATAAATTCAACCTTTACTCAAACAGGTTGTTCTCTGTAGGCACCTTGGAAAAATTCTGTATAATTGCTTCTAATTTCACTCTATCACTAAATGATACCAAGCAGATATGTGCTATTGGCCCTTGATCTTAAACTGGTTTCCCATTCCTACATTATGTTGGACTATACTCCTGGCAGAATGTATTTTGACTATCAAAAATACTTTCTTCCTTATTCTTTGTTTTTCAATGCCTGACTACTATAACCCTTTTTATTTTTAAAATATTGTTACATGTATTATTATTATTATATCTCTTTTAGCAGACACAAATCACTTTCTTTTATCCATTATCAATAACTATAATGGTTTGTTCTAATTATCACAAGTCACTTATTATACAAGTCATCACAGTTCAGTCAGGCAAAGTTGAAGTTCATCTGACTCATACAAATATTTCCACAACAAAAACAATCACAACTTAAAGGTCTTTTACTACACCCTGGATGCCAAAGCCAGGATTCTAGGGAAAATGACACTCTATAAATATAATCTAAAACACTTTGTCAGTACTACATGGATCATTTTTTATAACAGTATAATGAAAGCAAGACATGGGTAAACTTTAAAGTTCATCGTCACGTCCTTGGAAAGTGATTACATAATTTTAATCAGCAGTCCACTCTTCAGCTGGTGGATATTTGGTACTAAGTGTCGTTATGCTCAACAGAAACACTGCCCCATCCTTCACCAGCCTCACAGCTGTTATTACACTTGAGCCCACTGGTTGCTAGATTCTTTTTTCTCTAAAAGGATAATGTACTATGAGAATTCACATAAAATTTCAAAAATATGAATACGTGTTCTCAAACCAGTCACTTAATCATTTCACAGAATTCACATCACTAGTAATTCTGAACAGATTTACTTCAAATTAATTCTGAAATATAAACATGAACAGTATCCATTGTATTTCTGAAGCAGAAATACATATACACATAAACCTGCTGTTATTATTGTTAAGTGCCCTCGGGTTAGTCCGATTCATAGCAACTCTGTAGGGTTTTCGAGAAGCAGCTGGTGGGTTTGAACCGCTGAACCTTGCAGTAGGATATAAGTTCAATACTTATCCTATAATGCTATATCCGGACACAAAAATTTACACGCCTTATTTTGTTAATATGCAGAACAAGACTCAGTTAAGATTCCTACATCACAGCTGACTGGTCTGCACTAAGTAAGATAGGCACAGGTGAGAAAGTAGGTTCTAGAAGCACAAACTCTTGTTTCTCAACAGAATCCTTCCTATCTAGTCATCAGCCCCAAACTAATTCCTGAACAGATGGGCCACAGATGAGACTCAATAGCTCCGGATGCCCCTAGATAATTACAAGGAATACAAAAAACAGAGACCTTGGGAGTGAGTCCTAAACACACAACAAATACTTTAGCAATCTGTTTCGTTTCCCTCTACTCCTTTTCTCTCCGTCCTTCCCATGTTCTTTCCCTTTTTGTTATGCTCCATTTTAATGTCTTTCACCTAGTTCTTTTTTACCTCTTCCTAATTTTTCCTAAGTGGAGAGCATTTAGTAATATATTTTCTAATATAAAAAAGACACAGTGGATTATTTTTTTAAGTGATCTCCATATTATAAAACCCATTAATTTCTTTCCAAAGAGTAAACAATGCCACAATATAAATCTAATAATATCAAGAAACATATCTAACAACTTGTAGACTTTGTTTTAATATTACTTATCTAAGGCTAGAAAAAAAAAGATAACTTCAAGCAAAAATAACTTTCTACTCTACAATATTTTATTTAAAAACAAACTAAGATTGTTCAAGTTTTAAAAAATTATTTTCTTACATAACTGCTGAAAGCTTCTGATGAGGCATTGGTACATCCAAGAGACAGAGAAAAAAGCTTTCTCCTTGTTTGTCTTGACAAAGAAACCCTCCTCTCCCTGCCCCAGCACAGCCCACACAAATTCCAGACATGTTATAGGACACAGAACACATTATGGGGCCTGAAAGGCAGTAGTTATTAGGACTCTGAGCACTCATCTACATGTAGGAACAAAATAGAAATTTAAAACTGTACCAATTTGCCAAGGTGTAGCTAGAGCTCAACGACAGATTCCCATATGCAGTAAAAGCTGTTTTAGATGAAATAAGTACATAATATAAAAATAAAACGACAAACAGTTTTACAAGATGGGAGGAGGGGTGATCCCTACCTCACATCACACACAAAAATCAATTCTAGACAGACTAAAGACCTAAAGATGAGAAACCAAACTTAAAACTTTCAGAAAACAGCGCAGAAGGATAAATGAGATACTTGGACAGCTTCTTAAAGAAGACACAAAAAATACAATTCATAGAGAAAAGACTGTTATATATAGCTCATTAAAACTTAAAACTCTGTACAACAAAATCTATCAACAAAAAAGCCAGTCATTGTGTCTCTGGAGATGGGGACTGGATAAGAGTAACAGAATGTAGGAGAGAAACTTTTCATTACATGCACTTTTATATTTTCTGGATTTTTTTAATCAAGTGAAATTATTGCTCATTCATTATTAATAAATAAACTTAAAATGTAAAAGTATTAATAAAATAAAAGTCATAGACTAGAAAAAGACATTGCCATGCATATAACTGGACTCCTGGTGTGGTCCTGTGGGCTGATGTGCTGGACTGCAAGGTCAGTTTGAACCACAGGGTTGGCAGTTCAAGTAGCCGCTCCTTGGAAACACTATACAGGGTCCCCATGGGTCAGAACCAACTTGACAGCAGCTAACAAATAACTAATATTCCAAATTTTAAAATAAAATTGATAAGAAATGACATTCAACAGGCAAGGATATAATCTAGTAATTCACAGAGGAGGGGTCCTTAATGACTAATAAATATCTGAAATGAAGCACAACCTCAAATTATCTGGTTAGAACAAATTTTAAAACACAGTAAGTTAGCTTTCTCTACCATCATCTTGGCAAAATTTTTAAATTTTAGGCTATATCTTTTTTATTCTTAGTTTGTTAGAAATCTATTTTAAAATCATGAGTCAATGATTTATCAAATACTGCTTGTGTTTCTACTGACAATCACATGATTTTTCTCTTTTGTTTTGTTAATGTGGTCAATTATATGGATGGATTTTCTAATGCTAAATCTAGCTTTCATCTCAGGAACAAAGCTAACTTTGTTACCCTGTACTATCCTCTTTATATACTTGGTGAGTTTGGTTTGAATCTGTTTAAATTTCTCTATATATACTCCTAAGTAAGACTGGCCTAAAACTCTTTCTTATAATATCTTCACTGTATTTTGTTATCAAGGTTGTGCTGGTCTTATAAAGTCCATTGAGGAGTGTCTTGTTTTCCCATTTTGTAAAGAAGTTCACGTGATATTTGTGTTATTTCTTCCCTAATGTTTGATCAAA